GAGAGAGAGAGAGAGAGAGAGAGAGAGAGAGAGAGAGAGAGAGAGAGAGAGAGAGAGAGAGCTATCTTCCTGATGGCACCAGGATGCCGGCACCCCAGCTTGGCAGTTGGCACCAGGCATGCGCTCCCAGCACCCACAGCAACTGCCTGCGTTTTCAGATTTATGACCGTACGATAAATGAAGACCTCTTTTTTGCCATCTGCAAGCCCTCCATCGCATGGAAGTTTCCAGTCACTGACAGCACTGGGGAGACGTATTTCTGATTTCAATCTGGAGCCGTCGCGCGCGGTGCACCTGAGTCAGATGGTGGACTGTAGCCACGGTTGGAAACCCAAATTTTTTTTTTTTCAAACGTATAATTCTAACAGAATTTCATTGTAACGGTTACGTCAAGAACAGTCATCCGCCACTTATCCTGTACGCGGATGAGGTGGCAATTGACCATCAGCCTTAAATCAAAGCACACCAGTAACAAGGGATTTGCCAAAAACGGCCCCTTGAATTCAAAATGTCAGACTTCCCATTTGTTTTCAGGCATGGGTACTGGAGAGACTTTTTTTATGCATGCTGTCATGATAGACATGTACACCAAATTTGATCTCGATCGGTAAAACTGATGGTGGTGGTTGGGAGCGTGGGGCTACGGGGGTAATATTGGGAAGCAATCCCAAGAGGGCCTATGCAAAATGTATTTGCCACCTTGATACTTTTAGTTGTCTTTTTGTCATATTCCCTCATACAATAACAAAAGGATCCAAAAAGATTTTTAAACTTTTCAACCCCATCTCACTTCTCATTGGACTTTTGCCCCTTTTTGAGTTGTGTTGTCCTCGCTGAATCAACGACATTTCCCTAAAGATACAAATGTGTATTGTTCTTAAATACAGGACAAAGGGGACTTGTGCTCTTTGTTGCATATATATATATATATATATATATATATATATACACATACACACATGGGCGTGTATATACACAAAGATAGGTATGCAATTTTAAAGGTGAATAAGATTTAAATTGTATTACAGTACTCAATAACAGTCTGATATATATAATGTTTGGTGTCATGCTTTCATAAGATTGCAACACAATTATCTGTGCATCCGTAATGAGAATTTCCTGCAAATTTCTGGCTGAAAAAATATCATGACAATAAAAACTTTATGAAAGACAAAGATGAAAGTTCAATGTTGCACTTGAAATGCTATAAAAATCAAAGTTCTTCAAATAAATTGTTTCAATTTGGTCTTTCAATGTGTCAATAAGATACAAGTTCGATCAGTGCACAATCAAGGTGCATTTTACTGAATGTTGTGACATCATGCATACAGTAATGAGAAATCCCCAATCTTTCATGCAAGCAACTCCAAAAAAAAAGTATAGCATTCTCTCTTTACCTTGCGCTCGACAGAGATCACCAAAAGAAACAGTAAAGGTTTGCACAGATTCATGTTGACTGCTGGCCGGATGCATACATTTGCCAAGGCGGCACACAAAAATGAAAAATATATATCCCCGTGTTTGCAAAAGGGTCTTAAATAGCAGCGATTCCAGCCGTGCCCTTTTGAAGCGGGGAGACGGCGACTTAAAGTAAAGTCAAATTATCAACAAAAGGTCAGCATGTGTAAAAACATTTTCACAATCAATCTAGCTCGGAAAGAGCTTTGAGTAACGGCCACTGCATTTGCCTGATCCTGTGATGGATCCATCTACTATGTTGGCCATTGACTGTGAACTCACTTAAACACCAAGCACGCACGCCACTAACAGGAATTTGCCAAAAGTGGCCGCTTCAAAACACTCGATTTCTTTCCCATTTGTTTTCAGGCAAGTGGCCTGGAGACTTTTTCGGGATTATAGAGACATACAACGAATTTGGCGTGAATTGGGTCATTTGACAAAGCAACGCCCCACTGGTCTTCAGACCCTAAATGTCAGTTTACAGCAGCCCATATTGGGTCGAATATCAAATTAAAGCCCTAAATGAGGGCTTTCCATGTCTCTCATTTTTTATGAGTAGCTTTGTCAATATGCTCTGATAAGATGGCTTCATGCCCAAAAACGTGCTTTAGTGTGGTCAAGAACAAAATATGCATTTTTTGGGAAATTGATGAGAACCTTCAAGAGATTGCCGAAAGACAAAGTGTCTCATGTGTCTCATGTGAATAGTGGGGAAAAAATGGAATTGCCTTTTTAAATAGTGTGAGAGAATGTGTCTCTTAAATGGTGAGGGGAAAAAAAAAATCATAGTTTGACTCCTTTAAACTGTGAAAAAAATGACTCCTATATGTGTGGAAAAAATGTAAATTATGTCCCCTATAAATGGTGGCAAAAATGCACCAGTCTCCTTTAAATTACAAAGAAAAAAAAAACGCATGTTATGGTTCCTGTCACACAATGCTCATTCAGATCTTGAACTGTTTGATTGTTTTGACACATGTAAATGACAAAATCAATAAAATGGAAGCAAACGTACCGAAAAAAACACAAAAATGTCTGTTTGGCTCCCCACGATGGCCAACCTGTCCTTGTCCATCTTTGGCTGTTTTTAACAAAGCCTTTCCTCTCCTCCTTCCTTCCATCCATCCTT